GGAACAGTGCATCTCTTACAAGGTCCAACAAGAAGCATGCTGGTAAGCCTTACACAAACAATTCCCAGGTTTTGCTCAACAGCAATAATGGTGCTTTTCAAGGTTCTTGGCAGTCAAGCTACAAGTAGCATTTTGCAGAGGTTTACTCCCCTCTAACCTTTTCCAGCATATTTTTCTCTTCAGAAGGGAGTGACTGGACCATCCAACTGCCAAAAACAGAAGACATTAAAACATGAAGCAACACTACAACTAAATGAAGTAGCAGCCAGCTACGTAGTCTCCAGGCTTTATTGCTGGAACCAGTGGGTTATAAAGAACCTAATTCACTTTTTGCATGTGCAATGAAGTGGAATAAACCTTCTCAACTAAAAAAAAAATAAAAAATTGCAGTGGCTTAAGACCTGTGTAGCTGACATCAGAATCATGCTCTTATTTCCACCAGGTCATTCCAGGTACTTCTCTGGTTTTCATGTCTCAGGACTCTCATGATGCTTTTCCAGGGCAGTCCTTTTCTAGCCTTTGTTTAAGTAAGCAAACTTTGATTAAGTAAACATTTACTTAGCTCAAGTAAACAAACAAACAAAAATAGCATGTCCCCGAATTTTAGCCATTTCATAACCACTGGATTTTGCATGGGATCTAGGAGCTGGAAGCTGCTCCTCCCACTCAAGGAACAGCTCGCTCAGCAGCAGCTGCTTTCCTTTTAAGAGATTTTGGCAGTTTCTTGGGCAAGCACCAGAAAGATTTCTGTGGTGGCAGTCATTACTGTGCTGCAAGTTTGCGTCATCCAAGGGATGCAGAGGCATTTCTTCCTGGGTAGCAGGGGGTTAACTTGCCTCCTGTTCCCTGCCTTGGGAATAAGAGCTGGGATGGCAGCCCATAGTAGGAGGGTCTGGATTGAATTCGCCAGTGAAGGGGGGGGATAACATTTTTGTGTGAGAAAGACGCTTGCCAAGAAATTGAGAGGGGAAGTAACATGGGAGAAAGGAAGTAACTCATCAGTGTTTGGGACAGACAACAGCAGTTTCAGGATCTGGGTACACATCAGGGTCTTGGATGGATCTTTCTCTACCTACGTCACTCACAGAGAAAGAAAGCAGGACGAGGAAGTGTAGATGCCTTCATAAGCTTACAAACACTGCCAGAACCTCAAAAGCATCCAGTTTCCTACCAATACAGGCTTTCTAAATACCATTACAGCACTTCTAGAGAGGAGGAGACTGAGGTCATAGAAAACTTTTAAACATGGGACTAATCTTCTACCAGCATGAGCCACACTGGGGCAGACACATGTGAGTAGGGGCAAAGAGAAGGTCATCAGCAGCCCCAGCTGCCATTGCTCCAGACCACAGGAGGACACCATGCCATGACTTGAAAGCTCCAGAGGAAGGCTGCTGAAAACCAAAGCCACTTGGCTTTGTACTTCCCAAAACCAAAATACAGTTGGTTAGAAAGAAGTGAGGTACACCATTGCTTCAAAACTTACAATTATTCATTGAATAAAATGCTACTACTAATAATAATTGAATAAATGAAACAAAAGGAAGAAAAAAAAAAAAGAAAGCAAGCTTCTGGGATGCAAAGATTTGTTTTCCTTTATTTTTAATAGCCATTTGAAAACACTGCAACATGACCAAGTCTGCAAAAATGTTTTCCTGACCACAGCGTCTTGCATGCAGACAAACACAAGGATTATGCCAGTTCCTGGAAGAATGAGCATCAGTAGCTTTTTTAAATACTGGAACACGTTTGTTGTTTTTCTCTCTTCTTATCTCCCTAATTTTGGGGATACTCAACATTTTTGGGGATACCTTTTTTGTTCTTTTTGTTGTTCATAGGCTCTTTGTTTAAACAAGTACTGTATGTTACTTTTTCCTATGGTTGTTAATTTTTGTTTGGCTCTTTAGATTTTTTGATACAAATAAAGTTTGGTACAATAAAGTTGCCCTTAACAACCTCTCTTCTGCTGTTTCAGCCTGCACAATTTTCACTGGGTCTTGTTTGTACTACTGTTTTAAACAGTTTGCTTGTTTGTAAGTAGCTAATTAGTTTTTTGTTCTATTCAACAGGAAACTTTTGAGGTCTGGGCTGTAACTTCTTTTAGTGAGAGCTCACACTGCACCAGTGTGTATTTGAGAAAGTTCCCCAGGTAGGATGAAAGATGGGAATCTGACTTGCTTTCCTGGGCAAATATCTCAGGCACTTTTTTGTATTTTGGTGGTACTGAGTCAAGACAGCAAGTGGCCATGTAGTAATACGGCTTTGAAGTCAGTGAGATGTATTACTATCTGAAAAATGGACAGGTGATCCTGCCCATGGCAGTGGGGCTTGGGACTGGATGATCTTTCAGCGCCATTCCAACACAAGCCATTCCATGATTCTATGAAAATGTAATTCCAGTGTGTCTTGCTGAAATTAATTCAGGTGGCATAATGTTTCGCATGTACAGTAATAAAAAAAAATCCCAGACTTCAAGAATTACAAAATCTAGACCAAAGGAAAGGGATTGATGACTAATAGCATACATGAAAGATACAGAAATTTTTAAAAACATCACAAAACCCCCAAAAGAATCTATGGAAAGGTGATCCTGAACCACAACACTCTTTGTAAAAGAACGGAGTGGGGTAGTGTAAAACCTTAAAAATTTGTATCTCCTGTCAATTTGTTGAACTAATTACTTGTCGGGTCCGGCTGTCTGTCTCTGCCCCGACACGAGTAGAGTGGTTCTTTGGTGGGCGCGATGCAAAGGACGAGTCTGGACTCTTCAGCTTTCGGTCTTCAGGTTGTTTATTATTTCTTATCTACAAAATTTTTCTGTCTGCCCAACAGAGGTCTGATCTGCAGGCAGTCACAGGCACTCTCTGACCACCCACGGGGCGGTCATGTCTTTTTATACTAAAACCTACGTATACAATATTTACCTTTATTTCCCAATGCTTTTCGCCCATGTTAGCAAGTGCACCTTCACCAGAAACCAATCTCTAAGTGCCAACATCATCACAGGAGATGGAGGACAAGAAGAAGAAAGAAGAAGGACAAGACACGCCCCGATCTCTCCATCTTGTCTCCATAACCCCCCTGTACCAAAAACCTTAAAAGTCTATATCTCACCCTCTAAATGTGTCTCTTTTACACCTTTTACTCTAAAGTGATTCTCTTGTCCTCAGACTCTTGTTACTTCTGTGGATGGATCAAAATCAAGCCACCAAACACTCTTGGCAACATTCCAGGGTTTTCGAGACCCCCAAGAGTTCTCCTGGCATCTCTGGACATCGGGAACGATGTGCTGAGATCCCACAATTACTGTCTGAAATTTGTAAAACTAATTAGAAGCTGCTTTAAACTGAATGTCCTGAGTACAAACTGTAGTTTTTCCACATCAGGGATTGTATCCATGTGCTTATTGAAATACTTTAGTGTATAATGCATTCTTGTGGAAAGGCAATGAGCAGCCAGAATCCTTGCAATATTCTTTACTGGTTGTCTAAAAAAACCTGCTGTGTTTTGTTTCTCTGCTAAATTCTCCTAAAAAAAAGGGGAAAAAAGCTTAATTAAATGAAAAACATCTCTCTGATGAGCCCCTCCTTTGATCTCTCTCTTTTGATAATCTCTCTCCTGACAGCCTGTGAATACTCTGCTAGCAATACTTCGTGCTTTCCTCCATGGAGATAACAACTGCTCTGCTCCAGGCATTTCTTTGGCCTAGGATTTGGGATCTCTGGAAGTGGGCAAACATCTCCATCCAGCCTATTGGTGTGAGTGCAGGGCTCCGTGTGGAACTAATTAGTGTTATAATGAATGCCACAACAGTTTATTGCCAGGAAGCATCTAATGACCTGGCAGTAATCTCACAATGACTAATCAAGATTTTCTTCAATTCCCTTTAGCATTTTTACCTGATAAATTAGTGCAGGAAAAAAAAAAAAGCCAAAATAAAACTGTAAGCAGAACAGAGATGCTCTGATTTAAAATATCTGATGGATGATGCTCTTCTGCCTTCCTGGGGTATTGTGTGCAATCCTTCTCCATAAATTCTACAACCTTGCATACCAAGAGCAGAGTGGTTATGAATTCTTCTTCACTGATTTCAGAGGAGTAGCCTTAAGCTGATGAGTTTAACTTAAATTTTGTATGTGATGTGTGGGCTGCAACCTACTACTAACCTGAGGTTGACTGTTTTAATCCAAATTGGGTGTGTATTACCGGGACTGGGTAAAAAATGGAGTTACTATTTTCAATTATTTCTGTACATAGCAGGAAAAGCTTAAAAAAAAGAAAAAGGAGATGGATTCAGATGGTTCACAACCAGAGCAGTCCCCATCCCGTGCCTAGCCCAGCACATGGTGTGTAGGACTAAGCATATGCACAGCCCCCTGCAGGATGCCGTCTCTCACAGATTGTTTTTCTCACAACAGCAAATATTTACTCTGCAGTACAAAAAAGACAAGGAGCTCCAGGAAGGGGTCCAGCGAAGGGACACAAAGATTATTAGGGGCATGGAGCACCTCTCTTATGAGGAGAGACTCTGGGCCTCAGAAAAGACTGAAGGAGATCTCATTAATACCTATAAGTATCTCAAAGGTGGGTGCCAAGAGGATGGTGTCGGACTCTTTGAAGTCGTTCCCAGTGACAGGATGAGGAGCAATGGCCATAAACTGAAACACAAGAAGTTCCACCTCTGCACGAAGAAGAACTTCCCACTGAGGGCGGCAGAGCGCTGGATCTCCATGTCTCTCTGGAGACATTCAAACCCCACCTGGATGTGCTCCTATGTAACCTGCTCCAGGTGACCCTGCCTTGGCAGGAGGCTTGGACCAGATGATTTCCAGAGCTCCTCTCCATCTCTAACGATTCTGCGCTGTCCCCGGGGCTGAGCCCAGGGCGCGGTGGCAGCCCCGGAGCGGCTCCGGCGGCGCTGGGATGGGAGCGGGGGGCAGCAGCGAGGCGGGGCCGGGCGCATGTGACCGGCGGCGGGGGCGGCCCCGGCGGGGCTGGGCCGCCTCGGCGGGGCAGTGCGGAGCGCCGGGGATGCGGAGCGGCCGGGCCCCGGGCAGATGATGGCGATACGCGAGCTGAAAGTCTGTCTGCTTGGAGTGAGTAAGGGCGACCGGAGGGTCGCTTCCCCCTTTTTTTGCCTCCTCTCTCGCCTCGCAGGTGGGGGCGGCGGGAGCTGGGCTGCTCGCTAAGCCGGGGAACGCTGTCCCGCTCCCAGCCTGGCTGTCCCGCTTCCCGGGGGGCGCCGCGTCTGGCGGCCCGGGCGGGGCGGGGGGGGCTCGGCCGCAGAAAATTCCTGCACGCCGAAACTTGGCAGCCGCGCACGGGGCGGGGGGAGGCTTTGGGGCTTGTTGTTTTTGTCTTGTTTCTCAACTTTTTAGAAGTGAGAAGGGCGTAGCGGGCTGGGGGAGGCGGAGAGCGGCTCTCTTTCGGGGGTCTCCCCCAGCGCTCCCCCGGCGGCGGGGCTGCCGGCGCAGAGCCATCCCCCCGGCGGCCCTGGCCCCGCGGAGGTCTCCCTTTGGTGCCAGAGCCGCGAAAGTACCGGGAGCGGTTTGCTGCCCACCCTGGGGGCTCGTCACAGGCGGCGGTGGCCCCGCCGAGCCCCGTTCCAGCGGTGGGGAGCCGCCCGGAGAGAAGCAGCAGCGCTGCCCGCCCCGGGACGCTGTGTCGGGGGGGTCGGTCCCGGCTCACCGATGTGCTGCTCGGTGCTTTGTTTAGTTCCTTGCCTGGCTTTATTCAGCAGCGCTTCTTTGACTCGATTCCTTACAGGAACGTCCTTTTTGCCATTCCTTTTTTTTTTTTTTTTTTTTTCTTCTTTCGCTTTTTTGGCGAACTCGCGCGTGCGTTTCACATCTGGAGCAGCAATGTGCTTAGCTCTGCACTTTGGCTGCGCCTGCCCCTCTCTGCCCGGCACCGAGCGAGCTTCCCGGCAAAATGTGCCCACCAAGTTGGCACAAACACCGCCGCGGAGCAGAGCCACCTCTGCTGACAGTAACCAGCAGAGGATCACTACTCCAGTACACAAGTTTCTTTCTAAAAGTCAAACATCAAATCGCCCGCTGCAAGTTCGGCTGCTTTTAGGCCCGCATCTCCATAAGCACTCAGAGAAGCTGCATGAATGAAGGCTTTTTAGAGTGAATTTGCTTTCATGCCATCCAAGTGAGTTGAACATTTGAAAACCAAACGCAAATAGACGCTCCAGTTCTCTCTGATTTGTGTTGACACTTAGCCCAGCAGGAGTGGGTACCTTGCCCTGGAGTAGTTCCTGCCAGGATGCGGTGCCAGGGCACTGGAGAGTTCAACCCCAAGTATTTGGCAGTCACCATTCCTCCTTTCTTGGTCAGAATTCCTGCCTTCAACTTTTAAAATGGCATAGTGACAAAAATAAATGTGGTTTGTACAAACATGAGGAGTCTGTGGTAGAATATGTGGATGTGTCTTTGCTTGTTTTCTTCTCCAGCAGAAAATGTTGTAATTTTATAGAGATGAAACGTCTTGTGGTATGAGATTCCACATGTCCATAATTTATTGATGTTTTGTAACATAAAAACTTACTGGAGGTTTTGTAAGGCAATTGTTTGCTTTTTTTTTAAGACAGGAAAAGAAACCTATAGTACAGTTCTGTGTTACTAAGAGTATGCAATTACTCTGTAGATTCATTAAAATGATGGGGTGGCAGTGGTAGCACTTAGGGAGATGTGTCTGTAGTTGTAGTCACAACATATCACATTAGTGATATGTTCCTTCTGTTTTAAGAGGGCATAGTTGTAGAAAACCTTCTACTTCTCATCACAGACATCTCATTTACCATGGGTATTGACACTATTTTCCCAAAAGAGAGGAATCCTTCAGATGATGAATCCCCTCAAGAAGTTGACGTTTCTAGAGCAGGGAAACTCCATACCTGTCTGTGTGAACAAATGGAGGCAATAATTGTCTGATCTGCTTGAAAGCTAGATGGCAACTCAAAAATACATTCTCAGATCTACCAAAAGAAATCTTGACAGTTGTTTTTTCAGTAGGTCCTGAAAAAAACCTGGTTAATCTGTATTGTATGTCATAGATCCCTTGATAATCAGTAAAGTCTGGAATATCCCAAGACAAGTTCTTATCCTTGTTAGAAGTATGGATTAAATTGGTATGTAAACCCATATCCCTCTCCACTTCTGAACACAGCCCTAGACTGCACCTCTGGATCAGACAGGAGGATCACAGTTTGGCTTCAAGCTGTGCAGAGGGCCTGGGCTTGGCCTATTTCTGCCTATTCAGAATTTCCCAATGGGAAAAAATTGCAGCTGGTGCAACATTTGCAAAGCCAGCTTCTCCTCAAGCTCTGGAGCCCCATTTGGCTATAGAGGGTCGAGAAGGGAAGATGATGAAGAGGAATAGAGAAACCAGAGCTCTGGTCCACACTGCCAGCCCTACAGACCAGTGCAGTAGTCCAGGGCCAGTGAGTGGCCTGGAGCCATTGCACTAAAGATGGGGAGTAGGTTATTGGCTCCTGGATGTGACCCTACTTTGCCAGGAGGGAGCCTGGCCTCTAGTTTTTAGTATTAACCTAAAAAAACAGGATTTGGGTGTCTGCATTTCATTTCTTCTTCCTCCATAGTATCTTGAGGTTTTTAAAACTCTCTGTGGGTGTCACAGGAGTGATTTGGAGCAGCCAGGAGAAGTGCTCTACAAGACGATGGTTGTGGGATTTGTAGCTGTTGGAGGAGACACGAGCGAGAGAAGGGCAAAGGGGAAATCTGGGGCAGCAGGAGGGTGGGAGTGAGTCAGTTTGGAAGGAAGGCTTTGTTGATTGCAGAGCTCTCTGAGAAGGGATGGTTCCAGCTTGCCAGTGGGCGAGGAGGAGCAGGATGCCTGCCTAATTGTCCAGTGCCTTGCAGCCTCGGGTGTAGGAGCTACTGAGGTGCAGTTGAACAGCTCTCTTTAGTATGTTGCCGTGCAAGTGTCCTCAAGCCTGCTCCTAAACTACTTCCTCCTGTAAATTATTGCTGCTGTGTAGTGAGGTATCTGCATGTGGAAGGTGTTCATCTTCCTGAGTGCAAATGCTTGGAGCTCTGCTCCAAGTCCTGTCTTGTTGCCCCCAACTCTTCCTGCTCTCTCAATCCAGTTTATTTGTTCCCAGCAGTTGTCCCTGTGTTAGATGCCACATGCTTCTGGGTCTGAGTGGGTTTTAGCTGCAGCTCAGTGTGTGTGGTGAAATGAAGTGTAGCTCTCCTTTGACTTGCATGGTGTTTCCATGTGGGCACCTTGTTGAGGGGCTGGAGGAGAGAGGAGTATAGGGGAGCTGCTGTGTTCCTGAGCCGTGCTTCAGTGCTGAAATGTGGCTGGCTGTGCAGCTGCCAGCTTTCCTAATCTGTCTGTGGCTGCTCAGTGCCCTGTGCCTAGCTCCCAACATTTTCTTTATGTGGGCTGGAGGAGCGATTTACAGCTCCCTGCCAAATCCTGACATAATTGTGTGTGGCAACCGCAGAAGAGATTGCCAGGTTTACGACTAAGGCAAAGTTTCTTGTCTTTGTCACTTCCTGAGGAAACTTTGACAACTCTTCAGAATTTGGGAGGTGGTTTGCTGACTACCATTTAAAATGACCTCCATTACTCCTTTCCTTCTGTTTTTGTTTATTACATTTTTGTGTTGTGACTGTGCATCACAGGACCAAAGGAGGTAGGATTGGAAGAGGCTCAGAGGTCATCCCTTGTCCCTAAAGCCCTTCTTATTCCTTACATATGTTTGTTTCCTCTGTCTTTAAAACTCACAATGTTCTCCCTGGGGTTATGTCCCAGGGCTTAACTGCTTTTCCTGTAGAAAGTTTTTCCTGAACATAGTGCCCACGTCTTCCCTGGCTGATGCTTTGTTTCTTTGCCCTTCTGTTTGTGCCTCTGTTTTCTTGCTCCTAAGAAGTCACTTGCTGGCCTGCATTGTGCTAGCGTGAAAATGCTGTCTGAAGCTGGTGAGCCTGCATTTGTAAAAGGAGTGACATTTCCTCTGTGGAAATTACACTATGATACAGATATATACACAGATCACTGGGAGTATTTTAGTTTGTGTCTAAAATGTTTGTCATAGGCAATGCTTTTATGGTCTACATGTCCCAGCACAAATAGGAAAGCTGCTGTTAAAAACAGAACACACCCCTGGCTGGGTTGAACCAGTTAAGGAGCTTTCTTCTCACCAGGTATGTGCAAGGTGGCCTCCATGGTAAGGTGAGCATCCTGCTGAAGACAGTAGCACTGCTTTGTGCAGAAGCCATGGGTGCATCAACAGCTGCAGTGTTGTAGCCTAAAACAGAGAGCAGAGCAAACAAAGGGGGTCATGAGAAGAGAAAGAATGTACTGATGAAGTAAATGTGTGCCTTTTGTAATTTTGTCCACAAAACTGTCATGTCTGAGAGAAGAGCAGAGACTGCCAAGCAATTTTCCCCCCATATGAATGGTTCATCATTACCTACTCATTCATTCTATTTTATTGTGTGAACAAGTAGCTCTATCATGAGAGAAATTTTTGAGTTGTGATCACATGGCTGTCTTGTGAAGTCACTGGTTTGAAGTGTCCATCATTTCAGCCTTTCCATCAAAGGAGCCCTTTGATCTGTATCTCTTTCCTAGCCAGTTATGTTTTTGCATTGTACTGAAACATCAAATTACAGGTGAAACTGAACAGTGATTTTAAGTCCATGGAGAACTGAAAGACAGACACATGACTAGCTGAACTGCATATACCTGATTTTCTTGGGAAATGTTTTTTCTTTGTGTTCTTCTTTGGTGAAGAATACTCTGAAATATGCACTTCGTGTGAGCACACAGCACTTCCATATTCTGTTGCCCTGCTTTGCCAGTCAAAAGAAGCATACAAGATACTAAAGGAGACTGGGGCTGGTGATTTTATTTTTATTGTGTTTGTCAATATTGCATAAAAATCCAGTTATGCATCAAGCAAGCAAGAAAGGCCTAGTCTCTTGTAGCAATAAAAAAAGTGTCTTCAGAAGCCTAAAGCAGCCTTTTCATATTATTTTATAAGACATTTAAATGGCTACAATCAGATTTTTTTTTTGCAATATAGACATTAAATATGTAGGTAAACAATTTCTCATAA